GCCTGATGAAGAATACGATATAAATGTACAGGCCCTGAAAATAATTTGTCAAAAGCAAGCATATGCTCGGCGATTTATTTTTTGAAAGTATTGTTAAGATTGGGGTTCGTGCTAGAGTTAATTTTAGGGTTAGGATTAACAGCCAAGGTTAGATTTAAAGCCTGGGTTTAAAGTAGAGCTACGGCTGCAAGTTCGACTAGGGGTAGTTGTGGTGCGAGGACACGGGTATACTGGCCCTTCCCGAACTTTATCACACGGCCGCCTGCATTACGTGGGGATTTCCATTCCCGTGAAGGGGCATATAACCTTGTCTAACCGAAATATACGGATAGCGGTATTTTCACGGAAGTAAGTTATCTATTGCGTCAATGTTCCTTTTCGAACTTTGATTAGAGCAATCACTCCATGGTACTTTTGTAATTTGGGGTTGTCTGTGGTAACTGTGATAATCATTCGTAGTTTAGCCACAGTAAACGAAATCATGAGTTAGATTCTTTAAACATTTTCTAGATCACAAAATGCCCTTTGACTCCATTGTCATATAACAGTCAAAGCAATTCAAAAAGACAGGATAGTTCCTATGAAGTAGCGAGATATGGATAAGAATGCTCTTTGACAAAAGTTCCAGTCTTACTTGCACCTTTAGCAGCCTCATATGCGATCCGCGGGAAGCAATTATAATTGAGTGTTTGTCGGTAGTTTTCGTAAGCTTTTTCAATACTATTCTCTGTCTGAACAATGCAGTTTTCCCGGAAGAGTTTTTGAAAACAAAAACGTTATATTCCACCAACAATATGACAAAAACATGTTAATTGGATGCTGAGGGCATGCGATAGGCATTAAGAGTATCTTTTGGGCTCCAAAGCAGTTTCTTTTGCCAATTTTCCATTCAATTCCGCAAGCAAATATTTAAACTATTGCTGTAGTCGTCCAAGGCAGGAAGGATGAAGTGGGACTTAATGCAAACATTACGTGTTTTCAATGCTAAGTAAAAATCAAACTCCTAACTTTGGAGTCAGAGGCTCATGGAATAACCCATCTCCCTCGAAGAGCATACCTTTACGTGCTGCCCGGAAGACTGGAATTACTGGCGCAATCGTCATCTTGGTGGCCCTCGACTGAGATTCCCGAAATGTAAGTGAAGTCCCTTTATTGTCATTAGTCATTAGCAAACACTTTCGACGAGGTGGACGTTTTTCGAAGCCAAAACTTATTCTTCGCGTTCGGAAAAGACAACATGCCTACCGGTCGTGACGGGCAATATTTAAACAGCCCTTAATGAGTCGAATGTAAGTTTTGAAACTTTAACCGCGTTTGGCGGATAAAAAATCACACGGAGATATTAGTTAGCACCAGTGACAGCTTATAGTAGAATATGATGACAATAACGGGAGAATCACAGAATTCCCGGATGTTCCAGTTTGAGAAAGCAAATCAAGTGCTTAAAGGAC